ACCTCGGTATATTTCCAACTGGCTGGGGTTATATAGGTGATGAAGGGTTAAAATATAGAGGTTGGGGTGCATAATTAGAGGTGTGGGGTAAGTAAAAGAGGGGACTAGCAAGACTGCAAATAGAGGTGACTGGCGATGATAACAAGAGAAAGGGGGTAGGTAATATAGTGGACTTGGGAGTTAGCAAAGAGAGAAGACTGGGGAGTGCATCTGCATGGAATTGGAGACAAAGAAGAAATGGTTGTCACCAGTATGGGCACCAGGTACATCAAGGACAGAGTCTAAGGATCATTGACGTGAGTTTTTTTGCAGTTTGGCTACTTTGAGCTTTCATTTTGATCTCCCACAGCTGTCACTTTAGTAAATATCCCTGTTGGAGCTACAATATGATTTATAGGGTTTATGGATGTACTTTGTCAACAGTGAGGGAGACATATTAACAATTAACGAATGTCAGAGAACTCGTAGTATGCTGTCTATTGTGTATTTTGGAAGAATCAATCTGGTGATGTCAGCAAAGTCTCTCTGCTGATGGCATATGTTTATATTAGTGGTAAGATTAGTGATATGGATAGTGTTGTTTTAGGGTTGTCTTTGGGTTAGGGGATGGAGGCCACATAATATGGATCAAAATATGCCTAACTCTATATTTATATTGAGTAATTTGAAATTGTAACCTGTTAAGGACCTAAATGTTACTTAGATCTAGCAACTGTCAAGCATACATTTAGAGGATAAGTAGATCACACATAGTATATTCTATATTATACTATGTTTGATCTACTTATCCTCTAAACATCAGCATGACAGAGTTTTACAGAATAAGAAAAAGCCTTCACGTACAAAAAGCAGGGGCCTAATGACTTTCAGTGCAGTATTTATGAGTTTTTCATAACAATGTTGTCCTTATAAAAAAAACAACTCAGAAGTGACAGTGCCACTTTTGCACAATCCCATCCTCCTCAAACCGTAACCAATGATATGAATACCCTATTTAACGCCACCAAATCAACCAACCAACTAATACCCATAGTCCATCATCAGCCTGTCACATAACCTCCTTAATCTCCCTAATTCCTCTCCATTCTGACACCTAAATCTTCCCAAATCTGACAACAAATTTTGCTAATACTTTTGCAGCTAGCCATTGGACTTAGTCTCCTTTAAGATTGCCGTGTAACGTCCCCCCTAGTTTGATTTTTAAAATATCTAATCTAAAGGAGAAATAGGATATATGATCTGCTTTTTATCCAGGCTAATATGCTCTACCACAATATCAGTACTACATTAATGACCCCTTTCCAAACTTCTGGGGAAAAGGCAGAATCATTTATAATGTTTGTAGCATTAGTGTGTGAATGTGTGGTGTATTTCTGTGAAGTGTCACTTTGTGTGCATGCAGTTTGAGTGTAGCATGTACAGATATTATTGTTTTTTGCATGGGGTGTACATGTGGATTAATATTTTTTTTCAATTCGAAACTCCCTTCTTATCTCTACATACTCACAATTTTTGCTTCTCTTCTAATCTCTTTAGTACCTCTCCACCTTTTGTTGTCTTTTGCCTCTCTTCTCCTGGCCAATATAACTCAATTATTAATTACTATGTCATACTTCTTTTATTCTGTACTGTGGCAGAGTTGTGCAGACAAGGCCCGCTTTCCTTATCCCAGTCCAGTGGTGGAAATAGTTTTTATTGAACACCCTAAAAAGTAAATAACTGGGCAAAAACGGATTACCTTTTCTCACAAATCTGAATGTTTCTTATTATGCCCTTTTCATTGATGTACATGATGCATACAATCATACATGCACACAGACACAAACATCCCTACACAGACATACAAGCATAAAAACATAATTATACACAGTCATATACACATATACATCCAGGCACAGACATCCAGGCACAACGAAAAGGAGGTTATCAAACATACATGCACAGTGGAGGTTACTATGAAGAAACTCATCACATATTAGATCACTTTACTAAACACAATCACAGTTACAGTTACAGGCATATAGGCAGAGTCAACCACAGTCAAACAGACACAGACATTCAGGCATAGACTCATACTCATACAAACATAACAATACTGACACACAGTCATTCATACATACAAGGTCAGACACACACACACATACGCTCAAAACATACAGGCCCATAGTCATACAGTTATATACATACAGGCACACAGTCAGACAAAACATACAGTGGCACAGCTATACAGACACAGACTTACACTCACACAGTTATACACATACTCACAGATGCATACTCAACTTGCCACTGTCCATTTGCTAACCCAGGGGTCCTCAAACTCCAGCCCCCCAGATGTTGCTGAACTACAACTCCCATGATTCTCCTGCTATCTATGTAATTCAAAGAATCATGGGAGTTGTAGTTCAGCAACATCTGGAGGGCTAAAGTTTGAGGACCACTGAGCTAACCTGTGGGGACACATAATGACAGGCAACAAGTCTTCCTTTGCAGAGGCTCTTCCCAGCCTCAAATCTAATGCACCTGTTCACAGTCGAGCCTCCCTGAGTCTAGTTGAGGAGAGGTTATGATATTCAGTATTTTCACTGTATATGTCTCTTTAAATTGAGTGTGAGCGTATAATGGCGCATGCCGTCGGTGACCCAGTGCACTATTAATGTATCTAACATAGTCATCATTTTACTGCAACTCTTTCTTTACAGGAGTATCACTGCTGGGCCCACCATTCCTTGAACTCAGACCTCGACTTTCAACCTAAGGACTTGCTTTTGGATTATCCCTCTGACTGATTATTTCATTGCTTTCTGGACCTGCATTAAGACAACATTATTTGTATATTCCCATTCTCACACTGATAATTTGGATAAAGACCCCTGTAAAATGACTATTCTTTAAGGATTTTGCTCACTTTAATTCAAATTGATTGTTTGTACAACTTGTTTTACTCAATTTAAAAAAAACTAAAAACTAGTAAATTATCTTGAGAGGAAGAAATGTAATTAAAGTAATCATTTACTTGACTCACCTCTCTAGGATATTCCTTAAATCCTGAGGAAAAAAATCAGAGAACATCACATAGTAAGTTTTTTTTAAGTTGCCCTCTGTTTTTGTTCCTTAACTAGCAGTCTCACAGAGGTTCTTCAGCTTGGCCAAACTACATAGAAAGAGAATTGGGCACAAAGAGTGGAGCAGTATTTCTTTAAACTCCCCAGCTGGTTTGTGAATAATTATGGGTGTGCAGTTCCGAAAAGTCTCAGGTCCTTAGTCCATGAACCAGGGTCCAGATGCCCACTGATTCGCGATCTGTCAGTCAACAGTCTGAGATCAACTGGTAAATCGCTATCAACCATTTAAACACCCCAGCTCTTATAACTTCCCAGCATGCCCTCTAATCTCCCTAACCCATCTTCAAACTCACCTTTGAATTCCATGATCCCTCCTCAGCTTTTCACCTACATTCCCTAAACCCTTTGTAGTCCATCACCTAACCTTCCATGGTGGGAGGCAATCATTACCTTAAGGCTGGGATGGTTCATCATGACCAGTCTACTTCTATCAGAGCTGGCTGCCGAGATGATATCAGTGGAACCTTTGTACTTAAAAGAAAATGATTGTACCCAGAGCACCAGCCTCTCTTGCCCTATATAAGAGACAGTCCTGGTTCCCTGAAATAAATTGTGTTCATACAATAGTCATTGTGTAAATATCTTGTTTTGTTCCCTTTAAGGTAAATATGAAGTGCTATGCTATGTTACAATGTATTATTTAGCTGGGTTATTAAATCTTGGTAATTTGACTTTTCTCTGGGCCATATTCAGTAATGAATTGAAGAAATGTTTAATGTAGAAGAAACGCTGCAGGAAGAAAAGCTGGTTGAATATTTAAGATCCAATAACTAATGTAATCAAACACAGAAACTGCTTACTAATCATGCCTGAGCTTGGAAGATGTTTAAATTTGTTAGAAAAAGAGTTTTAATTATGGTCTAGGCCACTGTAACATTAGGAATACAGATCTGTACGCCTAATGCTAGAGAATTAATTTCAATATGTTGATATGTGCAGTATGTAAAACCTTAAAATTATTATTTTAACTTTTTATGTTTACAATAATATATCGGATTGTTTTGAAAGCATATGTTTTTTTATTGTTCAATATTTGCCATTTTTTTTTTTGCACATTTTTATGTATTTTATTTGAGCATTTAATGCATAATTTCTGTTAAAGGAAAAACATAATTTTTACGGATATTACCTCATTGAATAAAACATTGAAAAGCATCCAAACCTTGTGTTAAAGAAACACTATAGTCACAAAAACAAATTTAGCTTAATGAAGCAGTTTTGGTGTACACATAATGCCCCTGCAGCCTCACTGCTAATTTCTCTGCAATTTAGGAGATAAATCAAATTGTTTATGTAGCCCTGGGTACACCTCCCTGCATGTATCTTACACAGCCTTCCTAAACACTTCCTGTAAAGAGTCATCTAAGGTTTACACTTGCTTTATTGCAAATTCAATTTAATTTAGAATTTCTTATCTCTTGCTCTGTTGATAGCTTGCTAGACCCTACAGGATCCTCCTGTATGTAATTACAGTTCAATTTACAGAGCTGGAGATAAAAACATTTAAATTAAGTTATATCTGATTAAAAATGAAAACATTTTGGGGTGGCGGAGCCTGACCTTCGAGCAGTGCAGACGGTGGCATGGGCTCCCGCCTAACTTGGGGATTTTGGGGTACTCTCGGCTGCTCACCAGCAAAAATACTTACCGGAGTGCACTTTCCGTGTCTGGGGTGCACCGCTGAATCGACTGATACCTCACCCGAGCTTGCCACGGCTGGCAGACCGGAACGCTTCACAGCGGCCTACTAGAGTTGGATCTGGGGAGAGGCAGACGATCTTCCCGCCCTTATGCTTGACTCGGCCAGACTCCTCCACCCCCATTTGGGCTGGTGGGGTTTATCCTGGTCCCCACTGGGCATCCGTCTGTACACAGCCTGGTACAAAGCGATTACTGGGGCCAAGCGACAGGAACTACTGGGCCTCATGCATGCAGCAAAGATTGGCGGCCACATGGAGACCAGGACTCTGGGCCCCTCACAAAGACCGCATAGCAGAAGCCTTTGATCACTTCTGGGCACAATTATGGGCTAAACTGGCTGAACGGGCACAGACACCAGCAGCCACAGATGTCTCTCGACAGCCCACTGCTCCAACTGAAGCAAAGCCTAAACACAATCACAAATTCAGAACTCTGACCACGAAGAAATGAGGGAAAAGGGCGAAGAAAGCACCCAGACTTAAAAGACGCCCCCCTGCCGTCAACCACCGCCTGTATGGGCCTCAGCATGAGCGGAGAGGATCTTCCACGAATAACTCAAAGCTGCAGGTACCAACTCAGTGCACTCAGAGGGTTCTCGCTCAGCAAGACCAGTGGCATGCAAAGGGTCAAGCCTGGAGACCTGCTCCTGAGGTGGAAATTAACTGGTACCACACAGCCACGGCATGAGAAAACACTACAGCTTGGACAGCCCTTTATTGCTTCCCTACCTATGCAGAGGATCTGCTGACTTCTGGAATCGGGTGAAAAGGGACAATTGAAGCATGATGGCCTTATGTGTCTGACCCAATAACATGCATAATGACCCCAATGCTGCTATAATGTTTGCAATGTTTTTGACGTATGGTCCTCTTTTTTTTCCCTATCTCAACGATTATAACGCTTAATTTTCCTAGCCTTATGCCCAATCCCAATGGTAAACTGTTACACATGTGTGCAAAATCAGCCTGTTAACATTTTTACAACATCATATTGCTCAGATAATGCTGTGTATAGGTCACTAAACCTGCCCTCACTGTTGCACACTCTGCATTCCCCACCTAAGTCTACCCATTCCTAATGACCAAACCGCATATGAATCAGTGGACATACACACACCTGCTTGTCAAAATAGTCAGCACTACTGGTGACCACGTCAGTTAGCATAGCCTGATTACTACACCAATTTGTGCAACCTACTTACTGACATATAATACTATGTTACTGTTCCTGGCCTGTCATTTCAATTTATAAAAAATGTTTTTCCAAATGCCATGCTGAGAATATCTTTTGCCTGTTTATATATGCTTGTTACCGCTGTCGTGGCGCATCAAGCCTGTTTGTTAACACATGCACAATAAAAATAAAGAATTTTACAAATATATTTTAAAAAAAAATGAAACCATTTAGTTTTCATGCATGCTGTGTCAGTCACAACCAGGGGAGGTATTGCAAGGATTGCATAAACAGAAACATACATGATTTAACTCCTAAATGGCAGTGAATTGAGCAGTGAAACCTCAGAGGCATGATTTATACATAAAAACTGCTTCATTAAGCTAAACTTGTTTGGTGACTATAGTGTCCCTTTAAGCTTTTTTCATGCAATACTCTGTTTTCTTTTAAATTTCTACTAATGGTAGACTCAAAATACCAAAACGTCTTTAGCTTTTTGAGGCAGTTTTGGTGTATAGATCATGATCAACAAATTAAGAGAAATAATGCAAATGTAACCATTAACCAGTATTCCCACTATCTTTCTTATAATGTACAAATAAATTAATATTGCACTATGGTTTGTAACTGTTATTCTCTAACTCCTTTTATTTCCCATGAAACAAGCAAAATTGTTTTTTGTTTTTTTTGTAGTGCAGAGATCCATTTAAAGTATTCCAAAACTGCATATCTTCCGCATAGCTACATACATGGTATCTCCATTCTGGGGGTGATATATTTTAAAGATAAAAAATGGACAGAAATATATGTGACAGAAGAATGCACATCAAGTGTGCTGTGCACATCAGAAAGAAATAAAATAAACAAAAAATCAATTCACCCATATGAAACTACCCTAAAGTCTGATTTACACTACTGCAGTTAATAAAGGAATTACATAAATTTAAACTTTTATTACAAGTTGCCTGTGGGCATTTAGCAAATAAAAATGATACATGGCTTTGTATAAGATTCCAAAATGTTGATGAATAATTTCATTTGTAATACTAAGTATGCATTGGAAGTGTAAATAAAAATGATGTATAGATGCCCATATATGAGTTTAATAATATTTTATGAGCTTAGCTACCATCATGTTTCATGGCTCGTTAGCTTATTGTAGAATTACTAAATTGCTAGAAGGTGCACAATAACAATTCACGATAACAGTTTAGTTTGCTCATTTATCCATAATCACTTAAATAGAGCAGATATTAAAGACCCTAAGGGATAGATTTAATTTGACTCATTTAAAACTGATAGTATTTTTTTCTCAACTGAGCAATAGTTTATTTTTTTTCCTTACTCATTTGTTAATGAACATTTGGTGTGACTACAAATGATAATAAATGGTGACTGGCAATAAATGGTGCAGTGTATGGATCATTTTGGTTTTATGATGGTCTTGTATCTTTTTAGACTAACATTGATGGTTTTCAGTTGACAAAATCTCCATACCACATACAGTACTTGAGAAACCCCAAATTAACAGAGATTCCCTCCCTAATTACTGGGGAGGATTCATTATCTTACTTTTAGTCCTACAAGATACAATGTTGCACAGTTTGTTTGTGCTTGTGAAAGGCTACTGCACAGAACTGGACTAGGACATAACATTGTTCCATGGGTCTGGACTCTGGATGGAACCAGTTTAGCCATATGTCGACACAGGTTTTTACCTTTACTGCTTTACCCTTATCGCTGATTGTTGACCTCATTGTGTGGGAGCTAGCAGGATCCATGCTACTTCCTTCACTGGCCTCTGCTAATTCTATTCTTGTGTAAAACAAATAATTAGTGTGCAATGCAAGAAGCAGCATGGACTCTATAGCTCCCATGCATCTCAACAAATGACCGCATAAAGGAGACTAGAAAAAAACATGGCAGTCAGCATGCTATATTATTCCCTGAAAAATGACTGGCAATTTATATATTTTGATTTGTAGGGCCAAACATGTACTGATCTGCCAATCTGTCCTTGACGCACAAGCATTCTGGCCCATCAGTCAATTGCTAGACCAGACTTATGGACATATTGTGAGTGGTGAGTCCCCAAATTTGACCCTTCAACTTGCAAAAATCATATCCGCGATATACATTAAAGCATTTTTTCCTCCCAAATGTTTAAAATTCTCATTAATAGATATGTCTATGAAAAATATAACAAAATGACAAACCATATCCTTGACAGAGATTCATACTAAAATATCAACACAAAAAGGTTAAAATGTCCACTCGTGTCAAGAAATGCCCAACTAATTAGGACAAATGGTGAAATGGTAGTAGCAGCCTGTATAGTACTTGGATAATGCCCGTTACTGTGGAAAAGTTAAACTAAAAATATACTGTGTTCTAATCAATTTGACTTTTCTGGAGCTCTTGACTTTTCTGGAGCTCCCTTCTTCATGGAACAGTGAATGTATATTAATGTGTTATTTGATCTTATGTCTGAACCTGCTTTAAATAGTCAACCCAGATATCAATATCTCCTCAGAGTTGTGGCAAAAAGATTTGTTGATTTAATGTTACATCTATTGCTTATTTGTCCTCTCTCTGTAATAAATGTTTTACCTATATTCTTCCCTATTCTAACAGGGTTGTTCACCATATTGAGAATTGCCAGGAATCCAAAGTAAATTTAAAGTTAATTTTAAAATCAAAGTGACACTATAGACCACTTAAAGTGGTGTGGGTGCAGTTTCCCTGTGCTCTTAAACCTGCAATGTAAAAAACATGCTCTTTCTGAGAAACTGCAATATTTCAATTGCAGGGTTAAGTCCTGCTCTAGTGGCTGAGAAGCCCATAGGAAAACATTGACCTAATGCTTTCCTATGGGTAATTTTGAAAGCATGGGGCGCCCGTCACTTGTTAGGTCCCCAATCATTGGATTTTACAATCGCAGAGGAGGCCATTGCTAGGGGGAGGAGAGCTAAGGAGTGCTGAGGGAGTCAGCTAAGTAGAAAATTAAGTAGAAAATTAATTTATTAAAATCTTATTGCATGTGGTGGGGGCAGGGATTGAAAGCAGTAGGAACAGCAATGATATAGCATTAGGAATACAAATTTGACCAAAATATCCAAATATAAAATGGAATGTACCTCTACAGGTGATACTCGAAAAATTAGAATATCGTGCAAAAGTTCATTTATTTCAGTAATGCAACGTAAAAGGGGAAACTAATATATGAGATAGACACATTACATGCAAAGCACGATAGTTCAAGCCGTGATTTGTCATAAGTGCGATGATTATGGCTTACAGCTCATGAAAACCCCAAATCCACAATCTCAGTAAATTAGAATATTACATGCAATCAATAGAACAATATCGGACCTCTGAAAAGTATAAGCATGCATATGGACTCAGTACTTTGTTTGGGCCCCTTTTGCAGCAATTACTGCCTCAATGTGGCATGTCATGGAAGCTGGGGCACTGCTGAGGTGTTATGGAAGACCAGGATGCTTCAATAGCGTCCTTCAGCTCTTCTGCATTGTTCGGTCTCATTTCTCTCATCTTTCTCTTGGCAATGCCCCATAGATTCTCTATGGGGTTCAGTCAGGCGAGTTTGCTGGCCAATCAAGCACAGTAATCCCACGGTCATTGAACCAGGCTTTGGTGCTTTTGGCAGTATGGACAGGTGCCAAAATGCTGGAAAATGAAGTCAGCATCCCCATAAAGCTCATCTGTGGAAGGAAGCATGAAGTGCTCCAAAATCTCCTGGTAGATGGCTGCGTTGACCATGGACTTAATGAAGCACAGTGGACCAACACCAGCAGATGACATGGCTCCCCAAATCAACACAGACTGTGGAAACTTCACACTGGACTACAAGCATCTTGCAGTGTGTGCCTCTCCATTCTTCCTCCAGACTCTGGGTCCTTAGTTTCCAAATGAGATGCAAAAGTTGCTCTCATCAGAAAAGAGGACTTTGGACCACTGAGCAACAGACCAGGTCTGTTTTTCTTTAGCCCAGGTAAGACACTTCTGATGTTGTTTGTTTTTCAGGAGCAGCTTGACAAGAGGAATACGACATCTGAAGTCCATGTCCAGGATCCGTCTGTGTGTGGTGGCTCTTGATGCACTGACTCCAGCCTCAGTCCACTCCTTGTGAAAGTCCCCAACACTTTTGAATGGCCTTTTCCTGACAATCCTCTCCA